GTCTTGACATTTCTATCATTTTCGACATTATAATATTATCTTTACCACTTCATTTTCATCTACTACCACATTACACTAACCATCCATATCCACCAACATACACTTTTCATTGTCGTTACATTCTTCTTTGGTAGATATCAACACTAACTATACTTAGATAGAGTAGTGCTTTGCTTTGCTTAAACCTTTTAATTTCCACCAATCCCTGTGGAGACGATACTCACTCATCACTTTATTACTTGAGCGGTTGTGTATAGTTGTATATTATTTTCATATAATTTTATAGTACTCACAACACGCAACACTAAGTGTTCCATACAAAGAATGAATAAATAAGTGGATAGAGGATTTCCTTTTCTAATACCTCTCGAGAGTTTGAAAGAGTCTGTCATAATACCATTCTAAAGGACTTGAGAAGAGGCATTTGAAATACAATTCATGATCAAAGAGTGAAGGTTATACAAACACCCAATATCAAACAATGTATCATCAATGAATGACCATTCCAGATGATCATAGGCTTTTTCAAGGTTGATCTTAATAGCCATCCAACCAACTCGACCTTTCTTTCATTTCATCAAGTGAATCACCTCATGGTCGATAACAATATTATCGAAAATGCCATGCCCATGAACAAAATCGTTTTTCCCTTTGAAATCCATGTAGGAAAAAAGGTTTCAACCGACTAACCAAAATTTTCGTAATCGTTTTGTAAAGAACAATGCAGAGACTAATAGTCCTGAATTGAGTGATTTTCCAGTCGAGAGACCTTTTAGATGAGGACAAGGAGAGTGCAGTTTATCTTCTTCAAAATTCTCTCACAATTGAAACTGTCATGAACAAGACGAAAAACACTATGCCCAACTATGTCCCAGTTGCGTTGATAGGAGAACACATGGAAGCCATCGATACCAGGGGCCTTAGATGGGTTCATCTTGAAGACTGTTTGTTTAATTACCTCATTATTCACTGGAGTTGATAAGGAAGCCAAAGATCCATAAGAGAACTTCAGAAACATTCCCCCAATATGATAAGTGTATCCCAAGTCCCCATCACTAGTGAAAAGCTTCGAATAGAAATCAATTGCAAGACATTGGAAAGACATTAGGTTTGAACTCATTTTCTACCATTAGCACATGCATGAAAGTAAGCCATATTTTGGTCCCCAAACAGAGTCCAATTACATCTCGACTTTTGTATCCATAAGCTCTCCTCTTGCTCAAGAAATAATTCTAGTTCCTCTTTAAGCTTAACCTCTAAATTGGAGAGGAACGGGTCTTTACGCGTAAGGGCCCTGCCAATACCACGAAGCTCGAAGATTAAATTTCTTTTCCTCATACCTAGATTTCCAAACACATTTACATTCCAGTCCATGATTTCTGGCTGCAACATACTTTGATTGGCACACTGTAACACCCTAATCCAATTCGCCCTGAAGATCCTTGGATTACATGTTACACGGGAGTACCAAAATAGTGGCCCAAAAATTTTCCTTAAAAGCTGCTTGTAACTCATCTGATAATAATTCATCCATAACAATTAAATAGAACATGATAATAATATGATTTTACAAAATACGGGGAGCTCCAAAAATATATCCAAAATAATACAAATGCCGAGTACAAATCAAGTTATGACTGAATACATATAAGGGTCCATAAATAGTATATGCCCTCTAGAAATTACTCAAGATGTACTCTAATAGCCTCTGAAAATCTGATCTACTTCACTAGAATGTCTGGCGACAATAACTCTCAATGAACTATCCCCCTAAGACCCTGCGTAGTGAGACACATTTCGAACGCTGAGCTTACGAGCTCAGTGCCTTACTATTAAATGTACTATACTAAATGTATTCATTAAATGAACTCACTAGTTCCAAATGTATGAAACATGCAAATACTGATATATTAAATTGTGGTTGGCATCATGGTGTGGTTGAGGGTTTCCCATCTCAGAGTTCACGCACCTCTCTAACCTTTCGAAATACCCTTAGGTACTTGGGTGTGATTTGAAACTGTATCGAAAACTTACACCCCGCCAACTTACTCCGTCAAGTCTTGGGGCATATGCACCAAGTCGGCTGCTTAAGTGCCTTGGCACTGACTTGGATATCCACTAACTGTCGTATTCTGCTAAAGAGGAACTCGAGTGTCATGACTATTTCCCGAGTGTCAAACAAGGCTAGTTTTATGTAAACCTAATTGTTACTGTTTCTACTGTTATGATATTAATTATTGTTCTCACTTAAAGTCTTATTTTCTAATATATCAATATATTTAGGGTATCTTGATTCTGACCCTTTAGTATCGTTACCCACCTATTGGTATTGATACCCCCTAACTGATATAGGCTGTTTGGATAAGGTAGTATTTATACTATAGGCTAAGTATCGATACTCTGGTGTTGGGGTATCAATACTTGCCTGAGTATCGATACCAAATTTAGGTTCAATGTTTTGAAAAATACCCCAATATTGATACCTCTATAGGGAGTATCAATACTCTGACCCAGGTATTGATACTCTATGAATGAGTATCGATACTACCCTTTTAAAATATACCTAATTTTTGTCTAAATGATGAATAATATCGATACTGTTCTTAAAGTATCAATACCTTCGCTACGAGGTGCCCTATTTTGGCATGAAAAAATCTATATTTATACCTAAAAGGTCCCATTGAGGTCCCTAATTTATGTTTAAGTGTTTTGTTTGATATTAGGGGTAATAAAGAGTCTGTAAACATACTGAAAACACCCAAACAATGCAATCTACCATGAACATGCTTTAAGCTTATATAACCTACAAAATATCACCTATTGAGCTACACGTGATAGAGTTAAGTTAGAAAAAAGTTATCTAATTATTCTAAGCTGCTAGGAGTGTCCAAAGATCACTCCAAGGTGAGTTTCTCTTTCCTAATGCTTTAGAGATTTCTCCAACCTATCTCACTTAAGAGAATCAAATGCATTGGTTACTAACTGGTTTTATGGCTTAATAAGGGTTTAAAAACACTTTCTAGGGCTAGAAATCAGTAAAAACAAATTGAATCTTTCAAGCTTATCAACCCCCCCACAAAACCCCTTTTTATAAACCATGGTTAAACTTTAATCTTGTGGTCTCAAAATAAAGCTTTAAAGATGTTGAATTTATTCCTTACCTTGGTGTTGCTGAACTAAAGTTGTAAGGTTTTCAAGTTACTTCATTTAGCTTTTCACTTGAAGAGAAAAGAGGAAGAGAAATTATGAAGGCTTGGGAAGAAGATGAGGAAGACAAAGGAAATAGAGAAAAATAAGGAACATGGTTTAGATGTGAGATCACCCAAATTAATGGGTGGTAAACCTTTCAAAATAAAATTGGTCTAATTTTTCCCTTAGTCCTCCTGATTTTGGTTGTAAACTAAAAATACCCTTTTTATCCATTGTTGGGCTCAAACCAAGCCCAATTCCACTTATACTTGGGTTAATACCTTTTACAAGCTATAGGGTTTATTCAAAGCCCAACACAAAATAACCTGAAACACTTAACCCATAATTCAGGGTGTTACAACTCTCCCCTCCTAATTAAAATTTCATCCTCAAAATTTACCTAGATAGAAGAGGTCAAGATATTGAAGCTGCATGTCCTCCTTGGTTTCCCAAGTTGCATCCTCGATACCATGGTTCCTCTATAGAAATTTTACTCAAGGGATTCGTTTGTTACTTAACTTATTCACTTCACTTGTTAAAATTATGATTGATTCCTCCATATAGGTCATATCTGGGTTAACCTCAATCTTGTCTAAGGTATGACATATGAAAGATTCGAACAATATCTCCTGAGCATAGATACATGTAACACATTGTGGATGCGCTCCAACTCTAGTGGTTGATAACTCAACAAAAGAGTTATCTTTATTAGCCTTTTTAACTTAAGAACATTCAGGAGCATTTTAGAATTAAAATTACTTAATTTTTACATATTTTTCATGGTCGGAGCATCGTGGGTTGCTAAGGGATGAAATTGTTTTTTGTTGCTAAAAATGGTTGCACTGATGTCGTAGCACTGCAGGAAATGTTGATCAGATGTTGTAACAGTCGTCTAAGCTCTATATGGTTGGGAGAACCTTCTTGATTAGGAAATTTGGCTTGGGTAGCTATCATGTGGTTGGATAACACCTGAAACGTGGACCTTTCGTATTGGGCGATGAAATTCTCATCCAAACTATAAAAGATGAGTACTTGGGTGCAAAAAGTCTATTGATTGTGAGAGATCCAAAGTACCATTTTCGATGTTAATTATTTCCAAGCCATTAAAGCTTAAGTCCTCTGCCATGGATTGCTAAAGCATAAGGGAAGCTTTCTAAGGAGCTTAAGCGGTCAGCGAATCACATGCCTTCTATTGAGAGGGGGTGATTTGAATGCTTAAACTTTTGTTGGATGTTTATGATGAATTTCCTTATTTATTGTTTACTTGGATTCTTAGTTTATAATCTTTGGATTTCATGATTATGAATTGAAATATTTGCAATTAGATATATAGTATTTTCGTTTAAATCTAGAAATAACTTCATTTGAATTACTATATACGTTTGTGAGAATTGGCGTTGCTGAGTAGCATAGGTATAATGAAAAGTGTACATCCAATGGATTAGTATTGTTAATAGTTTGAGCCTTTAATTAATGAAAGTTACAAAAGTAGTTCAAATGGCTTAATCAATGGTGATCACGTAGACTAAGTGTGCATTGTTTGCATAAAACTTGGAAGTCATAATATTATATCCTTTGATTCAATAGTTGACCAATTGCTTTTTGGAATGCTATACCATGAACTGGTATCTTTTGTTATTTATTTCATTACTTAATTTCTAGCATCTCAAATCTTTGGTAAATCTTACTGTTGAAAACTCTAATGAAAACAATATGCTCCCTGTGGGTTTGACATCTAAAACTCTCGTAGTTTCCACTTTAATACTTGGTTTACGACATATGCTCTTGCCTAATTGCTATAGAATTTTCGTAGCTTTGAAAAGATTTAACTTCATTTAAGCAGATGGGCGATGAAAGCTTGTATGCAACATAGGAAAGATTTAAAGATTTTTTGTGGGAGTGTCCTATACATGGATTCGACATTGGACTCAAGTGGAGATATTTTATAATGGGTGAAATATTCACACTTGAATCGTGGTTGATGCCTCATCAAACGAAGCTTTTTTGGATAAGACATAAAATAAAGCATATGATATTCTTAATAGAATCTCCACCAAAGGTTATCGATATCCTAATATATGCAATACATTTGGTTAACGTGGTGCTACAACAGTAGATTATGAAGCTTTCAACTCTATGGCATCTCAGATTTTAGCATTGACTGAAAAGGTGAAGAAATTGCACAAACTTGGAGGAATGTATGAAGTTAAAGTTGCATCTCTTATCACTTGCGTATATTGTGGAGATGACCATAATTTTGATGAATGCCCCCAAAATCTGGGGTTTATCTACTATGTGCGAAATTATCCAATTAATGATAATGGTTTTTGTAATACATACAATCCAAATTTTAGAAATCATCCCAATATTTCTTGGAGAAGTTAGAATGTTTCCAATCCATAGCATCAATAATATCAACTATAACATTACACTCAACAAAGTCAAATGCCGCATCCACATGCACAACAATCTATTTCTCAGCCACAACAAAGGTAGAATTACCAAGGTCAATCTTCAAACCAAACTTCAACCTTAAAATATTTTGAAGCCATGATGAAAGAATATATGGCATGCCAATATACCTCATTAGGGCTATAGAGAATCAGATGGGACAAATGTCTAATGATCTAAATATTCAATTTCCAGGATCACTCCCTAGCGACAATAAGAATCCTAAGCAAAATGGTAAGGAGCATTAGAAGGCCATTACCACAAGAAGTGAAATTCATATTGGGAACCAGTTTAAGAACCGAGGAGAAAGAATGAGGAAGTTCATCAGCATGAAAACAGGAAGAGAAAAGAGGTTGAGATTGAATTGCATGACAGTTAATTTATAGCAACAGATGTGGGGCAGAGTAGTAATTCAAAATCGTTACCGACAGTAACCCTAACTACATTTAATGCATATTCAGCTCCATTTCCTCGACAACAACAAACAAAACTGCATCCACCATTTCCACATCGCTTCAAGAAGACAAAGATCAGTAATACAAAGCTTTTATTGATTTTCTTCGCCAGTTCACAGTTAACATTTTTTTGATTGATTCTTTATAACAAAACCCAAATTATATCAAATTCATAAAGGAATTTCTTTTGAAGAAATGAAGACTTGGTGAGTTTGAGATATTTTCTTTTATCGAAGGTTGTAGTGCTATGGCTACATGTCAATTGTCGTCGAAGCTTAAGGACCTAGGGAGTTTTATTATTCCTTATAACATTGGTGACACATTTTTAGGTAAAGCATTATGTGATTTGGGTGATAGAAAAATCTCATGCCATTGTCTATCTTTACGAAATTTGGAAGCAACGATGCTAGGACCACTATGGTTACTTGGCAACTTGTTGATCCCTCTGTCGTGCATCTTAGCAGTATTATGGAGAACATGCTTGTGCGAGTGGACAATTTTATCTTCCATACAGACTTCATTATTTTATATTGTAAAGTTGACAAAGATGTTCCAATCATTCTCGGTTGCACATTCTTTTCCATAGGTCGAGTTGATGTTTAAAAGGGATAGCTAACTATGCATTTGAATAAAGGACACATTACTTTCAATGTCTTGAATAATATTTCTTACAACAATGACAATACTGACTATTTTTCACTTGATGTGATTGCTATTTTTGCACAATAGCATTTGGAGGAATGCTATAGCACAAATAAAGCTTTATGTGATTCAGAAGCATTTGAGGAATTCTTGCTTAATGAAGCACAATAATGATGTAGTAAATATCTCTAGCACGTTAAACCTTTGTAAATACATGATCATATTATTCAAGCACTGAATCCATCTATTGAAGAACCACCAAAGCTTGAATTAAAACTTCTTCCAGAGCATTTGAAATATGACTATCTTGGAGAAAACAAAACACTGTCTGTCATTGTGGTAGCACAACTTGCAACATCATAAAAAGTTAAGTTAATTGATGTGTTGAAGCAATATAAGAGAGTTATCGCATGGAGCATTGCAGATATAAAAGGCATTAGTCCATCATTTTGCATGCACAAAATTCTTTTGGAGGATACCAATAATAGCTCAATTGAACATCAGTGAAGATTAAATCTGATCATGAAAGAAGTGGTTAGAAATGAGATTATTAAATGGTTGGATGCTGGGATTATATACATGATTTCATAAAGTAATTGGGTTATCACTTTCCAATGTGTTCCAAAGAAGGGCGACATTACTGTGGTGACAAATGATAAAAATGAATTAGTGCCGACAAGGACCACTACCGGTTGGAGAATATGTATGAACTATTGAATCTTAACAAAGCAACGAGAAAAGACCACTTCCCTTTGCCCTTCATAGATCAAATGTTAGATCAGCTTGTGGGCAACACTTTTTATTACTTTTTGGATGGATATAATGGTTACAACCAAATTAATATATCTACCGAGAACCATGAGAAAAGACTGTTCACATGTTTGTATGGTACCTTTTCTTTTTGTAGAATTTCATTTGGGTTATGTAATGCTCCAATGGCATTTCAGCGCTATATGATGGTTATTTTCTCTGATATGACTGAGCATTATTTTGAAGTTTTTATGGATGAATTTTTAGTATTTTGACATGATTTCGAGAAGTGTTTGAGCAATTTGGCTACAGTTTTGAGAAGATACGAGGAGAACAACTTATTTTTCAATTGTGAAAAATGCCATTTTATGGTCACATAAGATATAGTGCTAGGGTACCGAATTTCATGTCATGTCATTGAAGTGGATAAAGCAAAAGTGGAGGTTATTGAAAAATTGCCACCATCTACCAATGTGAAGGCAATTCGAAGTTTTCTTAGTCATGCTAGTTTTTTATAGATGATTTATTAGACTTCTCTAGGATTACTAAGCGATTGTTCTCATTGCTGGAAAAAAATAGGAAGTTTGTTGTGGATGAAGAAGTTTTCCATTCATTTAAGACAATCAAGAAAAAGTTAGTGAATGCCCATATTGTTATGGAACCTTATTGGAGTTTTCCATTTGAATTAATGTGTGATACTAGTGATTTTGTTGTAGGAGCAGATCTGGTGAAACAGAAGGATAAAATGTTTCACACTATACATTATGCAAGTAGGACATTGAATTAAGCCCAAGCTAACTACACCTCAAATGAAAATGAGTTTCTTGTTGTGGTGTTTGGTTTTGATAAATTTTGTTCATATCTTGTGGAAACAAAAGTGTTTGTCTATATCGAGCACTCAGCGCTGAAGCATTTATTTGCTAAGAATGATACAAAACCTCGTTTGATTTGATAGGTGTTTTTAACTCCAGGAATTTTATATTGAGATTCGAGATAAGAATGAATCTGAAAATCTAGTGGCTAATCAGTTATCTAGGTTAGAATTAGGGAGCAACGTAGTAATTCTAGATGAATTCCTTAATGAGCATCTGTTAGCCGCTACATCATTACCATGGTATGTTGATTTTGTCAATTATCTAGTTAGTGGGATGATGCCACCAGACCTTAATTATCAAGGTCGAAGGAAATTTATGCGAGATGTAAAACAATACCATTGGGAGGAACCGTATTTATTTAAGCAAAGTAATGATCAACTTATGCGACGATGAATTTCTCAATGTGAGCAGCAAAGAATTCTGCAACATTGTCATAGTACAACATATAGTTGACTTTTTGGTAGTATGCGTACAGTAACAAAAGCGCTTCAGTACGGATATTATTAGCCATCACTTTTTAAAGATTCTAATGACTGTAAAACATTGTGATCACTATCAGCGAACTGGAATATTTCTCAATGAAATGCCAATGCAGCTTATCTTGGAGATTGAGTTATTTGATGTATTGGGATTAGACTTTATAGGTCCATACCCTTTTTTATGTGGCAACCTCTTTATTCTAGTTATTGTACACTATGTATCCAAATGGTAGGAAGTTGTAGCCTTGCCAAACAACAATGCCAAAGCAATGTTGTAATTCCTGCTCAAAAAACTTTTCATTCCCTTTGGAACCCCTCGTGCATTTATCATTGATGAAGGGTCACAATTTATTGGTCATCAGGTTGCTAGAGCATTGAACAGACATGGAGTGAAGTATGAGATTGCTAAAACATATCATCCACAGTGCAACGGTCAAGCCGAGGAGTCTAACCGATAAATCAAGAAAATTAATAAGGTGGTGAACCCTTCTAGAAAGGATTGGTCCTAGTGCCTTAAATAAGCATTATGGGCTTATAGGACTACCTACAAGAAGCCGTTAGGGATGTCCCTTTATGGTATTATTTATGGTAAAGCTTTTTCTTTCCCTGGCTAATCAAATTAGGAAGCAAAATGCAACTAATGGGAGAATTAACAATGTCAGCATACCACAAAATTGTCACGACAAATAATATTTTCTCATTAGGGAATTTTTCCTTAATCTCTATTTCATTCCTGAGTTATTTCATAATTTTTAGCCTAGAAATATGGGCAACTACTTTGTTTTTAATCTCAGGCAAATTCTCAGTGGAAACCAAATGAACATGCTTAAGGTGTGAAGATAATGGTTTTAGCTCTAAAGTGGGTGGGTGCTCAGGTGAGGGTTTGGGAGGAATAAATTCAACAACATCTACGAGTTTGAATTTTATACCTAGTCTAGCTACAAGTAAGCTAGATTTATGCACCTCCATTGGGATTTCCTCGAGCTCGTCTTTTTCTTCTTCATCGAGCTTCAACTAATCATCAAAGTACAAAAAATTATTGCACCAAAATTCAATAGCTTCCTCTTACACAATAGATTTCACATCTTGAAGCGATTGATACTCCCTAAAATCATCAGTATATTTAAAAATGTTGGAACCATTGATAGTTACCCTTTGGTCATCTACTCCTACTGGAAGGGGATATCTTTTACTGTGGCAACATTTTTTTCTGTCATCATTAGGTTCATTCATTAAAACCTCAATATTGTGTCCCATCAAAGGTG